GGACTATAAGGAGACATTTGCTCCCGTGGCTAAGATGAGCACAATAAGGGTTTTGTTATCTGTTGCAGTGAACCATGAATGGCCATTGTACCAAATGGATGTAAAAAATGCTTTTTTACATGGAGACCTCGAAGAGGAAGTCTACATGCAACTACCCCCGGGTCATCCACAAGCACAGAATTCAGGTATGGCTTGCAAGCTTCATAAGTCAATCTATGGCTTGAAACAATCTCCTCGTGCTTGGTATGCCAAACTGAGCTCGGTACTTGAAAATTTTGGGTTCAAGAGAAGTCATGCTGATTCCTCCCTGTTTGTTCGAATAGGATCAGTTGGCAAATTAGTTGTACTAATCTATGTTAATGATATAATCATCACAGGTGATAACATTGATGAGATTCACACTCTTAAACATTCTCTTCATCCACAATTTGCCATTAAAGAATTAGGAGTTTTAAAATACTTCCTTGGGATTGAACTGGCCACTTCCCCCAAGGGACTTTTTTTGAGTCAAAGGAAATATGTGATTGACTTACTTCAAGAAGTGAAGATGATGGATTGCAAACCAACTCGTACTCCTCTTGATAGCAAATTGAAGTTGGACTTGACAGGAGAACCTCTCAGTGATATCAGGTACTACCAACGATTGGTGGGTAAGCTTATATATCTCACCATCACCAGACCGGATATAACTTACGCCGTCAGTCTTGTAAGCCAATTCATGCATGCACCCACTGAAGCTCATTTAAATGTTGTTAAAAGAATTCTCAGATACCTCAAAGGCTCCATTGGTCGGGGAATCGTCATGAAAAACAATGGTCATACTCAAATCATTGCCTACACCGATGCTGACTGGGCAGGGAATGCTATTGATAGAAAATCCACTACTGGCTACTGCACGTTGGTTGGAGGAAACCTCGTGACATGGAAGAGCAAAAAACAAAATGTAATTGCTCGCTCAAGTGCCGAAGCTGAGTATAGAGCCATGGCTTCCACTATATGTGAACTCATTTGGCTCAAGGGCCTTCTCTCGGACTTGGGGTTCTCAATCAACACACCTATGTCTCTTTTCTGTGACAATCAAGCAGCTATGCATATTGCCTCCAATCCGGTGTTCCATGAACGCACCAAACACATTGAAGTTGACTGTCACTACGTTCGGGAACAAGTCCAGTCCAAGGTAATTCAAACCACATTCACTCGAAGCCAATATCAACTTGCTGATATTTTCACGAAGTCTCTTGCTTCTCCTCAGTTTCAAAGTCTGCTCTCCAAGCTTGGATCAATTAACCTCCTTGATCCAGCTTGAGGGGGAGTATTGGAAGAATAAGCCGTCCTACAGCCGTCCTACCTTGTCCTATCTACACACTAGCCGTCCTACAGCCATCCTATCTTGTCCTACCTACACACTAGCCGTCCTACAGCCGTCCTACCTTGTCCTACCTACACACTTGTATCATGTATATAGATCCTTGTAATCTTGTAGAAAAACATAATGAGAAAAAGCATTCTCTTCCATATTTTCCACAGATCTATTAAAAACTCATATTTTGGATGTGTTGTTAGGAAGAAACGTTTAAACTCTGAATTTGTATGGAACGTATTCATTATAGAATAAACTAATTGTATGTGTTATTGCTTTTAGTACTAAATTGACTTCTTTACCTCCTACAAGCCATAGCTTTGATAATAAATTAAGAATAATGTCTGATTTAGTTTTTTTTTTTTTTTTTTTTTTTTGGTCGAAATGTCTGATTTAGTTTAACTTTTTTCATTTGATAATTCCCTTGCCCTTGGTTTGAGATATAAAGTATTTCATTTCAGTCATCAAGTCACCTTTTAACTTCTATTATGTTGATTTTTGTCTGTAGTTACACAAAAATATGCAGATCTGCTTTCAAATTGAGAGGCCTAAGGACAATCTCTGTTCATAGAAAAAAAAGTTGGACAAGGGCATGGGTATGGGAACATGATTGGTTGTTATATTGCTTTGGGACGTTTTGATATTTTAGAGATTAATCAGTTTGTGGAGATTTTGCTTATCACATTTTGCTTTGTATTTGAACCGAAGCACTAGAACTAAACTTACTTTTAAATTATAGAACTTCGAAAGGCGATCACGGTTAGGATTAAAGAGGGCCAAGTATATATGTCGAGAAACTACACATTGCAAGTATATCAATTCTAATTTGTATTACTGCTAAACTATATATATCAAATGTAATTAGAAATTAAATCAAGTACAAACTACATGGGGATGAAGAAAGTTATATATAGGGGAGGGCCGAAAAGTACTTGACGAATCAAAATACTGCACAAATTTGTGATAAGTTGATGAGTAAAGATGACTGCCTTTTGTCAAGCAGTTTTTGACTTTTCTGCATTCTTTTATATAGTTTTTTTTTCCTTTTTATTTTGTCAGATTAGATATATAGGTGCACTGATAAATAAATAAATTAATAATAAAATAAATAAATAAATAAAAATAAAAATAAAAATAAAAAAGCATTTTTGCATTTTGCTGCACGTGATGATGTTGATGTATATTTGTCAGATTAGATATATAGGTGCACTGATAAATAAATAAATTAATAATAAAATAAATAAATAAAAATAAAAATAAAAATAAAAAAGCATTTTTGCATTTTGCTGCACGTGATGATGTTGATGATATACAATGTTCAATGACTGAACCCTATGCCCTATACTACAGCAAAAAATGACGCATAATTATACAATAACTACACACAAAACATTGAAAGTATACATGTGTGCAGCAAGAATGAATGGTAAAAATGCCATGTTCCTTTTAACATTGCGAATTAGCGAGCTTTTTGGAGGGAGTATACATACGAATGAACAATACATTTAAAGTATATCTTGATAATTACAATAAAAAAAAGATTAACACAATATACCTTTAGTGGAGCGTAGCATCCGTGATGCAAAAATGACGTGCGTGCGGATAGGCTAATATGGAAAAAAAGGTTCAACTAGGTTGGCCAGCAAATAACTTGTGTGAATCCATTTCTGTCATTTGCAGGTCAATCATGGTATTCCCGGTAAAGTTGTTTAATAACTTAAATAGGTGTTAATATTTATACCTTTTGGTCAAGCGTACTGTAGAAGGGATATATCTTGTGTATGAACACTTTTTTTCTTGCCAAAATGTTTTCTGTAAGTTATGCGTTTGAACAACATTTGGGTTACCTAACCATTTTGTTTGGGTGAAACAGTTCTTGATATGTCTACTGGAATGGATTACAAAATCAAAAGTGGTGATGCAGCTGGAGCTTTAAAGATTGAACCTATTTAAAGGGCTAGTTTCTTCTATTTGCCTATTATTGATGCTATAGATTTTGTAGCAGACAACTCCAATTCAATATTTTTAGTTATGATATTATCTTTTTCAAGCTACAATTGGGATGTATTGTAGGTTACTGTGGACATGTTAATGTAAAAACTACCCATATTTGAATTATAAGAATTTTTTCGTTGAGTTTCATAGTATGTACTTGCCATTTACAGAATTACATTAAGCTGAAATGCTAGTTTAATTAATAAAATGATAAAATGTAAAAGAATAAATGGATTAAAATTTAATATAAACAATTTAAAGGAGCATGTGACGATATACCTATTCATCACATAAATTTAGGATTTGTGATGATTATAATGTCATAAATTGAGTGAAGATTGGCATTTGGGCTTGAAAATATGTGAGGAATCGGGCACAACATATACTAATAACAGGTGACAAATCACAAATTCGTCACATATACTATCAGTGACGTCACATAGGTGACGAGCTTTGTGACAATCGAAATTTGTCATATATACTATTATGTGACGAATTTGTAGTATTCAATGATGCTTTGGCATCATCACTGAAGCCCTGTTTTCTTGTAGTGTGTCTGATTGCTGATATTGAGAACAAGAGAGGACAATGAGCGAAAGGGATGAGAGAGAGGGAGAGTGGGCAAAGAGGGTAGAGAGCACATACAAAGAGAGAGCATAAAGCTTTAGGAGAGAAAATGCGCTGCAAGGAGGAAGAAGAAGAATGCTCTCAGCGTTATAAGATATACGCAGCGAACCCATTCGTCAAGCAAAGGTTTGAAAATTTGACACATGTATTTTGACTTAAGGGCAAACTAACCAGTTTAATTTTTAGGTTAAAAATGGTGGGAAAAGACTTTTGCTTGGCGAAATTTAAAGTATTTCGTCGAGCAAACTCTTTAACCTGGAAGGAAATTTGATTCTTTTGGGAAAAAATTGGAGAAACTAAAACTTTGCTAGACGAATTTAATATTGTTGCCCGATTAGGTAAGTTAGGCTGACGACAGTGGTAAATTTCGTCAGTCAAAAATGAAAAATTCAAATTTTTTCTATTTTTAAAATTTATTTTCAAAAGGTTAAAAATCCTCAAATTTGTTGATTAGGTTATGAGAATAAACTATATCCTTGTATTAACTAAGAGTATTATGAACTTGTTGGCGTTCCAGTCTAATTCGATAACATAAATCTTACTAAGACTTTGGAAGGAGAGCAAAGTAGTTGTTAGGGTTAGGGTAAGAGATTTGAGATAAATTTGGGAGTAACTTATATTGGTGCATCAAATTGAAAATCTCCAAAAGGTAATCGAAAATACAAAAAGATAGGAACCAAAAATCCAATATGAGACTAAGCTCAATACCACCACTACCGAAAATTGGATATTGGGGCCACCGTCTACTCTCTATTCAAGAGAGAGATACAAGGAAGACCACTCCACTGAGATGGAGAGAGACAGATAAGAGACGAGAGAAGAAGGAAGACAAGAGAGGGGGCTACCAGCGATCCCAAGGTCGGATGTAGTGGTCGGTGGCTACGGAGGGTTTCCTTAGATTGAGGAAACAAAGAAAAAGTATAAGCTTTACTGTAACAAAAAGATGTGCGTTACTCGTGCCTAAGCACGACCATCTAAAGAAATCAGTTTCATCACCCAACATTATCGACATATTAAAACCAAAACGCAATTTTACTGTTCATTAACAGTAAAGTGGCGAAACTGCCCCTCAAAATTTTCGGCCTCTTCGTTTTCTATCTGCCTTTCTATAGTGATATGATGCTTTTGCCCTTCATGTTCTACGTGTCTTCCATCGGTGGATGTTTTATCTTTGGTTGTTCTAGACATTTCCTTTTCTTTCCGCTTTCCTCTCTCGCATACCTTGGGTTTCCTCGTTTTTGCGGTTTGTTTATCTTCGCCTGCCGTTCTGTTTTCTGTCGTCCTCTTTCTTTGTTGGTTTTGTTGTTCAAAATCTTGAGCCTTTTGCTTTGTTGTTCTTCGATTACCTGTTAGAATCGTTAATTTCTGCTTCTTTTTGGTTGGGTTCGAAATATTTTTTTCGCTCATTTTAACGGTCATTTACAAGTGAGTTTTGCATGTTTATCACGGTGAGGGTTTTGATTTTGCATTTTTTTTTTGGGGTGCTTTTTGTTGATATCTGATGTATTTTGGTTTTAGATTTCAGAGATTTGTACCCATTTTGGATTCGATTGGGATTTGGTTGGAACCGATCCAATCCGGCATTTCCAGGTCAGTTTTGCATGTTTATGGGTCTTTTGCGTTTGCGCGATTTGTTTTTGTGGATGGCTTATGCGTTTTCTTTTTCAGTTGCAGGAAATGGTGCCTTTCAAACTTCGTAATTTTTTGTTGCGGTTTTTTGGAGCTACTGTGTAAAAGGTATATGGCGCGCTTATTTTTTTTTCGTTTGTTTTTTTATTTTTTATTTTATTATTATTATTATTATTATTTTTTATTGAGAGGTTTTTTTCATTGTGTTTTTGTTAGGAGTTTGTTGTCCCATTTTTGTGATGGAATTGGAATGAAAAGCGATTGGAGGGTGTTAAAAATTTCTTGATAGGGGAAGGTCGCGTTGTTCAGATTTTGCAGGTAGGATATTAGGGTGAAGGAAAAATGGGAGAGAGTATGGGAGACAAATTTAGGATTAGAGATAGGAAAACTAACCAAAAATAATATGACAGAGGAATGGGTTGGGTTAATTTAGACTTGATTTTTTTTATTTATTTTTTTGACTGATTTGGAATTTTGTTTGGGTTTGGGGGTTCTCATTTCTATCAGGACCTTTATGGCTAGACTGTATATATATAAATTTTTTTTTGCTAATTCTTACGTTGTTCTTGGAATTTTGTGTGCTAGAGTTTTTGAATTTTATCTTGATCTTTTTGTTTTTCTATTTATGAAACGCTTTGATCTGTGATTGCCAAGTTAGCTTGAAAGGGACTGGCATTGCATTGGACTTAAACCAAATTTGAAAAATGCAGTTTATGCACAGTTGACCCAAATATACTACAACATATTGGTTAAGATCGTTTGTGTTGTGATGATTTTGAAGGTTTGAATATCATGTAATTAGAAATGCGTTAGTTTTTTTTTTTGGGTTAAAATTGTCTCTGTTATAGTGTATAATAGTGTGTTTTCACACGAGCAATTTAATTATTAGTGCATGAAAATAACAGATGTATTCATTTCGATTTAAGTGTTATTGGAAAATAACTTATTGATATTGGTTAATCAAAGTGTTGATGTTATGATGCGTTTTAAAATGTAAGTTGTGGATTCATTTTTTATGGTAGATGTTAAATTGTTAGTGTGTAAAACGGAAAATGTTTTTGTTTTGCTTTAAGTGATGTTGCAAAGTTGGAGATTGATGTTACTGTTCTAAAAATCCCCGCCTAGCGCCGCCTAGGTGCTAGGCAGCTGATCATTGTTTCGATTAATGCCTAGGCATTTGAAAATTAAAAAAGGGTGCCTAGATCTACTAAGGCACCCACCTTGACTGCCTAGGCACCCGCCAAGGCTGGAATTCACTTAAATAGAAAATAGATAATTTTCGTTTTGCATTTTATTTTTTCAATAAATTGTAAGAGAATTGTTGAATAATTAAGTGAACACACATTATATGTTTGTTTCCTATGTTTTCATTATGTTGCAATAGCTCATAATATATATATATATATCATTATATTTTGTAGTTTATGATGAAATTATATATATTTTAAGTATAAATACACACTTATTTACAAGAAATATAATAGATTTAATTAAATTCACATAGTCCCCTAGGTGCTAGGCCCCACTCCGCCATGTGACTAGCGTCTAAGGTCTTTTAGAACCTATCTTGTTAGTTATAGTTTTCATGATCGGGCAAGCTTAAATATGTGTTGGTCACCTCCATGATAAGGAGTGACAAGTATATTTTAGATAGTTTTGGATAGAACATCATAGATTTGGTATTCAAAATTAATATATTGTTAGAAAACTAGGTATTTACTAAGAATATTTAGTGTTGATGATAAGGATTAGTCAGTGCGTGGTCTAATGTGTTTAAATTCTTTTTTTTTTTTTTCATGAATTTTTGTTATTCTTTTTTGTTTAGTTTGTGTGAATTCATTTTAAAGTTTGTTGATCAGGAAGTGTAAAAAATGAACAATTTTTCTAGATGTGTTTTTTTGGGCTTCGATTAACAAAAATATCTTTGTTGATCGATCTTATCTCCGGCTAGTCATTGTTTTTGACACACTCCGACCGAAATCAAGATGTGCTGGCCGTCACATGAGGGTGACGTAGCCATGTGCACAGTACGGAAGCAATAATAATAATAGAAATGCGAATAAATAAAAATCAAACTAGAGCACTAGCTAAGAATAAGTGCAAGACGAAACTAAGTGTGAATTCACAATCAGAGCATAAGTAGTCTAAGTGCAGTCTAGCAAGACAAATACTAATTAGACAACACCCAAAGATGATCATACAATGGTGATAATTTGTCAGAGTTGCCGTGGATTCCTCGCGAGCCACCAAAAAGCACTCCTAATTAGAACCTTGAGGGGCGCAAAACAGAAAGTGTGAGTGCGCAAAAACAAAGTTTTTCAAAATCATTTCATTTCTCAAAAGTTCTAACCCCTCGTCGTAAAACTTGTATAATTTCCCAGAAAATATAATATATGCTATATCAGAAATCATGCTCAGGATGAAAATCCATAGAAATATACCATGCCAAAGTATCTCAATGAAATGTCATAAGTAATTCAGTTAAAATATATCAATGCCATATATCATATCAGTCGGATCCACCTAACGTGATCCGCACAGCTGAGTCTATAGCTCATAACCAATTCAACCATATCAAATCCTACACACAAGTCGGAACCACCTAAATTGGTCTGTACAACAAGACTAGGTGTAAAATAAATATGTTCTAGTGCTACGATCATGTGAAGAGTGTGAATGATCGCGGGTCACCTACGAGTCATAACCACCTATAATGATCTGTACGACAAGTATGTGCATTTAACTTGGATCAAAGGTGAGCATATGGTGCGGGAGGTGAACATCACGTGAATGACTGTGCCCTAACTCTGAGTGGAAGCACTAACACCGGGGTGCAGGTTTATGAGCTCTCAATGCATCACATCATATCTTGCATAACTAAAGCAATCTCAGATCTTTAATTTATGAACTTACCTGACATTTACCTGTGCGTCCACAACACTAATCATAAATATATGCAACTACATAAATAAAATAGGTAGATACTTTGCATGTCATTTCAAAACGTATAATCATTCAAATTCATTTTCTGGGAAAAATCTCAATCATATAGGTATATACGGAAACCCAAAAGGCCACTCACTGGCATGTCGAAGGATCACAGCCCTCGAGCCTCGATTGATTGCACTCGTCCTTTGGATAGGTTTCACCTATATGCGAAACAACTATATAAATGTTAATTTAAAGCACATAAACAAAACTAGCTAATAACTTCTCATACAATGCTCAAATGAGGTATTTGAATACACCAACGTGATATACTCAACCTCATGAACATCCCCATATTTTTAAAATAATTTTTGGACCACCCACGCGCCAACAAGGGCACGGCCAGACGCGCCTCCACGCGCGGTCAAGCCCTAACTGAGCTTAACGGCTGTTAGGAATATTCCGTTAAAACCTTAATAAAAGTTAACGACGTTACCTGACGTCGTTAGAATATTCCGTCAGACTTGACGAAATATTCGCCTTCGTCTTCCTTGGTTAGCTGGAGACCGTCACCGGTGCCATTGCGATCGCCAGTTTCTGGAAAATATTCAAACCTTGATTTCTCACTCATTTCTTAACCAAAATTCATGAAATTTGTTTCAAAATGAAACTTATAGTGAGTAGAACACACCAACATTCTTCCCCGAGCTTCTTGAGGATGTTCTAAAACTTCTTAGGACCTCAAAACTCCTTGAAAAGTCCACAATTACGATCACATGAACATTGCTCAAAATCGGGGTTCTTAGTTTCTCGGGAAAATGAAAGCTACACGTCTAATGAAAGGTATGGATGGATTCCTAAGCTCACAAGGAACACAAAAGTAGGCTCCTCGACATCGATCCGTGAAGAAATGGTTTGGTTTGAGGTTTGTCCGTACAGTTGTACGGACCTTCAAAAAAATCCGAGAGAAGGAGATAAATAAGGGTCAACGGGGTTGTTTGGGTGTGTGGGGTCCTAGTTGGCAACAAAACAACCAACCACAAACTAGGAAAAATTTAGTTCTATTTGGGTCCAAACATTTAGGACTGAACATGAATTGGACCACAACCAAAACATATCACCCACAACACCAACTAACGTCCAAGGGTAATTTAGTCTTTTCACACCACTGATAAAAATAATTCGAGACGGGTTGTGACAGTTTTGGTGTTATAAATATTTAAGGCTGCAATTTTGTGTCTTTGTGATATTAAAATTTTCTCTCATAATTGCAGGTTTTTGAAAAAATTGACCTTCGCAGACTATCTAAAAATAGATAAGGGCTGTTGTTTATTGGTATAAAGATAGAATAACAAAGGTATAAATAAATGTCTGGTATTATATGATTTTATTATATTTTGTAATGTGTGGTTTCACTGTGGATTAATTACTGAAATTATTATCGATTGTTCTAATTTCATGTTTTTCCTTTTGGTTAATGTGTGTTTTACAAGTATTTTCTGTGAATCCGTTTTATCAGTGTTGGTGTGAAACTGATTGGATTCTAAAACTGTTTTGGTTTGGTTTTCAACTAATTTGTTAAAAAACGCTAACATTTTATTGTTATAATGTGATTAAACTCATATGTTTTCATTTTGGTGCAAAGTTATGGTAGTTCTGTTTTCTTTGAATATCAGTTTGCTGTGACCAGTTGTCATTGTGTTGGTAAGAAACTTTTTAAGTTTTAAAACTATTTTAACTCAGTTTTGTAGTTGCTTGATATAAAAATAATAATGTTTTTTTTTTTTTCAATTGTATTAATAGATTTTTTTTTCTACTTTTTTTATATCTTCGCTTTTTGTTTGGTTGCTTTTATGTCCTTTGACATTTGTTTTCCTAAGTTATTGAATCATTTGATGTTAATGTTGATTGAGGTGTTTTCGTTTCGCTATAAACCCATAACATTTTTTTCTTTTTAATTATTGCTTTGCTAGAACCAGTGCTAATTTTGAATTATTCATTTTTTAAGTTTAGTTTTTACATCTTAGATTAATTGATTGATGTAAAAACCTGCACTATAGTGGCTGATTTTTTAAATACATTGGACAATATAATTGTTTTGGTTAATAATATTTTTTTTTTACCTGTACGTTTTGGGAGAAACTTATTAAATCTTATAAGTTTTTTTTTTTTGTTAGATGCTAATAAAGAATGTTTTTGCTTTCTATCACCGGCTTTTAAATTGTTTTCTTTTACAAAATCTTAGGTGATTCTGTGTTGCGCTGGAAAAAATTTAGCAGTGAGGAAAGTGGCCTAAATTTTTACGAATTATAAATTTTGCTCCATGCTTGTCACATCCTGGCCCGGGGCAGACCACTTCCTGGGCCCACTCCACCACTGTAGCACGATATTGTCCGCTTTGGGCCTACCATTCCATCACGGCTTTGTTTTTGAGAACTCACATGAGAACTTCCCGATGGGTCACCCATCCTGGGATTGCTCTCGCACGCTACTCGCTTAACTTCGGAGTTATCATGGAATCCGAAGCCAGTGAGCTCTCAAAAGGCCTCGTGCTAGGTAGAGATGGGAATATACATTTAAGGATCACTCCCCTGGGCGATGTGGGATGTCACAATCCACCCCCCATTAGGGGCCCGACGTCCTCGTCGGCACACACGCGGCCAGGGTTAGGCTCTGATACCAAATTGTCACATCCCGGCCCGGGAAGGATCACTTCCCGGGCCCACTCTACCACCGTAGCACGATATTGTCCGCTTTGGGCTTACCATTCCCTCACGGTTTTGTTTTTGGGAACTCACGAGCAACTTCTCAGTGGGTCACCCATCATGGGATTGCTCTAGCCCCCTTCTCGCTTAACTTCAAAGTTCCTACGGAACCCGAAGCCAGTGAGCTCCCAAAAGGCCTCGTGCTAGGTAGGGATGACAATATACATTTAAGGATCAGTTCCCTCGGCGATGTGGGATGTCACAATCCACCCCCCTTAGGGGCCCGACGTCCTCGTCGGCACACCACGGCCAGGGTTAGGCTCTGATACTAAATTGTCACATCCCGGCTTGGGCCGGATCACTTCCCGGGCCCGTTCCACCACCGTAGCACGATATTGTCCGCTTTGGGCTTACCATTCCCTCATGGTTTTGTTTTTGGGAACTCACGAGCAACTTCTCAGTGGGTCACCCATCATGGGATTGCTCTAGCCCCCTTCTCGCTTAACTTCAGAGTTCCTACGGAACCCGAAACCAGTGAGCTCCCAAAAGGTCTCGTGCTAGGTAGGGATGGCAATATACATTTAAGGATCAGTTCCCTGGGCAATGTGGGATGTCACAATGCTTGTAGTTGTGATTTATATAGTTCTACTGTTTTTATCATGTGTTTATTAATTTTGTTTTTGTTTTGTTTTTTTTCCTTCTTTTTCATCCT